GGCAGAAGAGACTGAACATAAACTGCACCTATGGATGAGGACAATGGGGGATGGGGGGGGGGACGGAGGGTGGGGTGGGAACCTGGTGGAGGGGGGAAGAAATGAGGAACCTTTGTAATAATATGAACAATAAAGATTGATTTAAAAAAAAAAAAAAAAAAAAAAAAAAAAAAAGCAATGTGGCTGGAATTTACCTTAAAATCATATGAGGGATGGTTCAGTAGGTAAGGGCCTGGATGAAAAGATATTGACCAGCAACAGATAATGGTTGAAGCTGGATATTGGGTGGGGGAATAGTCTCCATATTGTGATATATACTCTTAATTATTTTTCCATGGTCAAAAGTTTCAAACACTGACAATCTGCTTTGGGTGAAAGATTTAAGTCCACAATTTATTCCTGAAATATAGGAAAAGTAAGCATCACCTGTAGAATTTTGTAATTTATAAGATTAAAACAAAATAAAACTTCATACAGGAATGTATATAGCACCTTTATTCATAATACACACAGGAAACAGTCTAGGTGCCCCATCAACAGGTGGTTAGAAAAGCAAACTGCAATATTTATACTTATACTATGGAGTACTACTCAGAAATAAAATGGAATAAAATATCAATTTTACATGTCAACATGAGTTCCAAAACCATTATGCTAAGTGAAAGAAGTCTTTTTTAAAGTATGTATTGCATCACTTTGTATATATGAAGTGCTATGCCATGCAAAACTAATCGGTAGTGAGAAAGGAAAATCAGAACAGTGGTTGCTTCTGGGAAGGGGAGGAAGAATTGAATGGGGAGGGGAACACCGGAACTTTCTGTGTTAATGGAATGTTCTGTATTTTTATGGGTTTAGGATTAACTTCACAATATGTAAAAATTCATAAAATGTTCATATAAGATTTGATCATTTCACTGTATGTATATTTTACTTTAAAAGAAAGGAAAGTGTGGTGATAGACAGAGATTTGACGTGAGATGGTGAACACACAATACAGTGTACAGATGATGTGATAGAATTGTGCACCTGAAACCTGTATAATGTTGTTAACCAGTGTCACCCCACTAAATAAATAAATGGGAATTGTAAGTAAATATTGAATACTAGTTAATGAAATATTTGCTAAGTATATAGGGGGAGGGGTACCAATATATCAGAAAGCAAGATGGGTAGAAGATTAGATTGATAGATAAGGGATAAAACAGGCATAAAAATGTTGATAAGAGAATCTAAGAGTTTGGGGTGTTTACTCTAATATTTCAAATTTTCTGTATGTTAGAAATTTCATAACAAAATTTTAGGAAAATAAAGGGAGCCATCTACTGGAAGAAATTGGTATTACTGATGGTTCAAAAGGTAAGCAGAAGGAAACATGTTTATATGATTTGGTGTTGATAACTATTTTTCACATATTCTACTGGTTGTCATTCAGATGTCCAAGGTGTCTTCTTTGGCTGGAATATTTCTTCCCTTCACTGACTTGCTTCCCACTCTGATTTTACTTCCTCTAGAAGAGAGGTCTGCAAATAGTACATTGTGGGCTAAGAAGCAAAAACTGATTATATAGGTATTTATAATGCAAGCGAGAAAATGAATTTCCAAATTTTCAGTGGATGAAATTTAAAACATAATAATATTGAGTACAAATTTAGTACTAAAGAGAATGAAATTCATTTTTGGAAAGGTGGATAACATTTCTCTTAAGTAAAGGTCAAAATTATTCCCTATCATCAAAATCAATTGCAAATGTTCATCTGATAATGCTAATCTGTAATGAGATTTTAAACATTTAATCTTTTACCCCAATTTAGTCTTTTTATCCAAATAAACACTGTCCAATACTGAGATCAATCAACGGGCAAGTGACTTAAGTTGAGCATATTCATCTCTTGGAAGGCAGTTATAGAGTTATATTAGATTATTATCTGGACATTTTTCTTTTAGTGTGTGAGATGCAATCATTTCTCATTTAAAGTTAAGTGAAAGCTGCTCAATGGCACAAGTAAATGGGTCTTAAAATATAAAAATTTCCTTTGCATTGAGGTCTCTATACTATACTGCTAAAACTGTAATTTGAGAGTGAAAAGTAAAACTTAAAATCTGTGTGGAAATGGAGATCTTGCTTTTATTGTCAAAACGCCTTTACCACAGAGTAAGTTTTGCATGTCAGGGCTTTGTTGTCTTAAAGGTTAGTTGAATTCATTAAGAGATATCATTGAATGATCACAATAAGCAAAAAATGAATTCTAACACCACCCAGTCAGTGTTCTGTAACATAGATGAAAGGAGGTTCTTCTCACTTAGAAAAAATTTCAATCCTGGCCCTGGGCTAAAAAACAAAACTCACAAGAAAATGTTACCACTGGCAAGTCATCAAATGCTGTGTGTTAGAGCAAGTCAGGATATTCAGCTGCTGGTTGTGACAAAATATATGGAGTGACAACAGTGAAGTCCGTGAGAGCAAATGAAGTTTATTGTTGAAACTACTGGTTCAGTGATCCATGGAAAATTAAAACGTTTTCCATAAAATACATGCTGTTTGATAATGTGGTACAGTGATGTTATAACCATAGGACTTAAACTCCTTACATTTTCACAAGTGGAAATCTGTCAAAATAAGCCTATTTCTTACATAAATTGTAACACATCATAGCTGACTTCACCTTAAGTGTATTAATTAGTTTTCTCAATTAAAAAAAATATTTTCGCTGGTTGCAGGCAGCTGATTCACAGAGGCTAATTATTCAGTCACTCCAATCATTGACGCGTTGAATAAACAAGCACAAACAAGCATTATCAGTAACACCTGTCAACTTATTAAGAGCCCAGAAAACCACTCAAAATAATTTGCCTTCACTAAATAATTTAAATTGATTATTGATGTTGTTCCCAGTGGCCTCAACACTTTAAGCAGCTGTTCTCAACCAAAGGTTAATGGTCTTAATAAGGTTTATTTTTTCTGATTACTGTACATTTCTTCAGCTGCTACAATGAATTACCATTTAATCCATGTGCCATATGTAAATACCACTACTGCATGGCTAACAAGCCAGTTGGAAACTTACTATGGCTGCAGCCTCATTTATTTATTTCCTTCCTTCCTACCATTCTTCCTTTCTTTTTCTTCTTTTTGATGAAGAAATTTCACTATATGAGATATTCCAGTTAATTTTTATAAATTTTCTGACCGTTTTCTTTGATTTGGGGATACTTGAAAACTTCTTGGTCTGGTAATGTCGACATGTGTTGTATTCTTGTAGCACAGATATAGGTCCATTGCCTAAAAAAAAAAAAAAAAATTGCTTTGCCATTGGATTTGATAGCATTTAAATAAACCACTCTTCATTGTACTTACTTCTTTCAAATATAAGTTCTCATCCCGATTAGAAAACTTCCTGTGTTTTATGGAGAAAAGTTTAGCTATCCACAAATACTGTTTCCTTTCAACCTAGTCTCTTAACTTTGTGTTATCTACTCTTGTATATAATACTCTCCTAAAACTGCTCTATTAAAGGTTACCATCCACTATACAATAGTCTCCTTCCTGCCACTATTCTACTTTTCAATTCATCCTTGTTATCCGAACAGCTTAACCTTTCTAAAGCATGTTTCATTTTTCAATCCCTAACTCAGAAACACTAAGGAGAAACTACTGGAATGAATGGAGGCCAGATTCTGGTGGCCCTTGAAAGCTCAATTTCAAGAGAGAAGTTTTTGAGAAGGGGACTAACACAATAAAAGGTGTTGTTTTACTTAGATCCTGCCAGTAGAGGTGGGCAGATGAGAGATGGGGGAGATGAGTCTGAGTGATCAACTGCCACATAGATCAGGTATACTGTGCTGATGGGAAGGACAGACTGTCTTGTGGGCTTGGGCCTGCCAAAAATGCTTGTTGAGTTAACAGTATTGGTTAGAAGCAGCTTGCAAACTAATGTGAGCTTGTGTAACATATATATAAGATGAGGCAATTCAGTTAAAGATTAGCGATTTGATTTTAGATGCAAAAGCCATAGTACTATGCCCAGGAACATCCAGCGATTCATTCTCTCTCTCTCTCTCTCTCTCTCTCTCTCTCTCTCTCTCTCTCTCTCTCTCTCTCTCTCAAATATATTTTATTGATATTTTACAGAGAGGAGGAAGGGAGGGAGATAGAGAGCTAGAAACGTCGATGAGAAAGAAACATCGACCAGCTGCCTCTTGCACACCCCCTACCAGGGATGTGCCCGCAACCAATGTATAATACATGTCCTTGACCGGAATGGAACCTGGGACCTTTCAGTCCGCAGACAGACGCTTTACCACTGAGCCAAACCGGTTTTGGCCAGCGATTCTCTTTTTAAGAACCATGGCTATACTTAGCTAACTTTGTCCCTTTCCTCAGGATTCCAGGTCAGATGAACCAGACAAAATAATCTGGTTCTGCTATTGCTGTACACTTGTAGGAACTTGTGCTCAAGTACCCTCCGGGCTTCCAGGATCCCTCTCCCAGGTCATTCATTACCCTGCTACCTTGGAGAAAAGTTTCTATCCCAGCATGCTTTCACTAAATTTTCAGGTGAAATGTATCCATTTTGATGGTCTCAACAAGACTGCCCAACTCATACCCAGAGCAGAGTTGGAAACTCAATTTATACACAATTGTCCAAAGAACGGAGAGCCAAAAAAAGACTCCTAACAAATGAGCTCTCAAATTTGGTCTGCATTAAGTAGCGATCATTTTCTAATCAGCCCGACAGTAAAAGTGTCAAATTTCGCAAACACTTAACAAAAGGGAGTAAAAGGATCACCTAAGGATAAAGTTTGAATAAGGGAACTGACCAGCGCTCCTAAACTCTCTGCAGCTCGGATTCTAATCCGGGGTTTTCAGCATCAGGTGTAGGCAGCCAATTGAGTCGTCTGAGCGCCGTGCATCCTGGGAGCTGTAGTTTCCCGCCCCTCAGCCCTACTACAAGTGGAGCCGCCGGTGGACGGTTGCTTGGGGTTATTAGCAAGCGGGAAGTATGGCGGTGGCGCGTGAGGACGCGGCTTTGCCTCCTGGAGAAGGTAAGGCGATCCTCACCCCTGAATCCTAAGCCTTCTTCTATGGAACTGAAGTAAATAATTACCTGGTAGAGAAAAGAAGCCTGGATTTAAGGGGGTGCAGTTCTGGACCAGTTCTATTGATGGGAGCCTGTGGACCTCGCGGAGGCGCGCTCCCCTCTGGGAGTTGTAGTCCCCGTGCTCTGCCTCGCTCTGCAGCGTGGTGGCTAGGCCCGGGCGGGGGAACTACAGCCCCCAAGGCTCTTTGCGCGCCGGCATCCCGGATCCCGCGCTCCTTAGTCTACTTGAGTGGTGGGTTTCGGACTGTGGTGACCTTTCTAGGGGGTTTACTTTGAGTTCTGGGTGCCCGAGTGGGAACTGCAGGATCTCCCGCTCTCACTTTACTGCCCCCCTTTCCCTCGGTTCCTGGAACATTCGGGACCCCCTCTAGCAAGCGCAGCTCCCTAGCATGACGCTGAGCCCTTTCTTGGAAGTGTCCGGTGGCTCTGGTAAAATCTGGGGGTGACCCAGAGCTACAGTCCGGCACCCCTGCTCCTGCAGGCGGGGTCCGCGGGGCGCGGGGCGCGGGTGCGTCTCTGACCCGGAGCCGCGGGAACCGAGCGCCTTTGTTTTGGTTACAGCTCTGCCAGCTCCGAGGCGCGGCTGCGCCGTCAGTTTGAGGGCCCGGCCGTGGAGTGGAGCCTTCTCCACGGCTTAGAACTGAGGTTCAGTGTATTTGGGGGACACTGGGCAATCTGTGGTTCTAAGACGAAGCCGTCGACTCCTTGGAATGGTGTGCAAACGCTGGGCGTTTTCCTGGGACACAGTACACAGCTTGCACCAAATCCTCAAAATCCCGTGACTCCCTCCAGCCCCCGACCCCGAATGCTAGAAGCCATGAAATAATGGGAAAATATTGAATCTCTCCAGGAGAGCATTCTCTAGCAGCTATTTCCCTCAGTAGTCTTAGTTTGGGTATAACTGTGACATTGGCCGTTTCCCAGGGCCCTGCCTCCCTCTGATAGCTGCTGCTCACAAACTCCACCTCCCCAGCCCTCCAAGGGCAACTTAGAGGAGGAACAATGAACATTCATAGAGCACGTTTTATAGGAGCTAGATGACGTTTCAAGTGCTTTTATTTTAAATTTTACATCATTTCATTTTCTCTGTATTCACCAAGGCAGGTATTATTATCAAATCTGTCTTACAGATTTTCTAATCTGTAAGTGGGCCCCAAAGAGATCAGTAACTTGCCCAAGACACCACCATAGTGAACTAGTGGAGCCAGAATCTAAATGCCTTTTGTACTGAATTACTTTAGTGGGTGCTGTGTGCTAGGGATGGGGCTCAGGGCTCTTTTTTCACCACCTCCCCCTATCAATTTAATGAATTAGGTGCATTATTCCCAATATGTGGATAAATTAAATGTATATATTTTGATTTGGGGCACTATAGGTTATCCTGGTAGTTAGACTGTATGCAGGTTAATCTCTAGCAAAAGATGAATTCCACTTAAAAAACACTGTGATTACTTAGCCACAGAATGTGAAAATACTATTAGTTTATGTTTAAATGTGAAGAATTCAAAAGTATTTCATTATAGAACTTGAGTAGAATATCACACATCTTGGTATAATTTGATATTTCTGAGGACAAGTGAATAATTTCAATCTGTGGTCCTTTAAAACTTGATTGCTTTTATTTTAAAATCTTGATAATTATTGTGCTGCAGTGTTTTGTAATTTTGAATGGGATTTTATTAGTATAACCAGAGGCCCGGTGCACAAGTTCATGCATGGGTGGGGTCTGTAGGCCTGGCTGATGATGGGGGCAATAAGGGTAGGGGAGCGGGCCCTGGGGGGGAGGGGCGGGACCACAGGAGGTTGGCTTGGGGGCGCACAGACCACCAGGGGCCAGCTCCTGTGTTGAGCATCATAACAACGGATGGACTGGTTGTTCAATCACTTAAGCTTTTTTTTTTTGTAATATATTTTATTGAGTTTTTACAGAGAGGAAGAGAGAGGGATAGAAAGCTAGAAACAACGATGAGAGAGAAACATCCATCAGCTGCCTCTTGCACACTCCCTACTGGGGATGTGCCCACAACAAAGGTATATGCCTTTGACCTGAATCGAACCTGGGACCTTTCAGTCCATAGGCTGATGCTCTAGACGCTGAGCCAAACCAGTTTCGGCTTAAGCTTTTATTTATATAGATTTCATCCCTATGTAGTATTTGTGTTTTCTAATAATTTCCTTTCTCTTTTCTAGGATTAGTGGTGAATTGGTCAGGGAAGGGGCTACAGAAATTAAGTCCAAACTTACCCTGTGAAGCTGACATTCATACTTTGATTTTGGATAAAAATCAGATTATCAAATTGGAAAATCTTGAGAAATGCAGACGATTAATACAGGTAAGTATTGTATCTGGGGAAATAGTTATATTAGAACCAGTTTATTATATCTAATAAAATAAACCAAGCAAAAAGTAACTATGCAGGCCTGCAAGTAGTAAATGCTGCCTTAAATCTTTACATGACAGTTTCTCCTGAAGATGAACACATATGTGCTGCATTTAGAGTGGACTAGAAAAAGAGGCATTCGTTTTTAAAAAGACAACATTTTATGTTAGCAAAATATTGTGTTACGATAGCCTTTTACCTCATGATAGGGGTAAACAGTTCATTCATTCAACAAATATAATTGGGTGCCCCATATATGTCTGGCACTGTTCTAGACTTTGACTGAGATAGTTAAGGACCGCATACTGTGGAACTTATATTCTCAGGTAGTTGCTGTGTTAACAATGTTTTCCCTTTAGTAACTGGAGGAGATCTTATTACTGAGGGTTATATGTATTTTCCATTGTTTATGAGTAGTAGCAGCAGCACCAACAACCTACTAGTTACTCTAGAACAGTGGTCGGCAAACTCATTAGTCAACAGCCAAATATCAACAGTACAATGATTGAAATTTCTTTTGAGAGCCAAATATTTTGAACTTAAACATCTTCTAACGCCACTTCCAAATAGACTCGCCTAGGCCGTGGTATTTTGTGGAAGAGCCACACACATGTGGCTCGCCAGCCAGTTTGCCGACCACTGCTCTAGAATATATACCTAAACAACATATGTGAAAGTACAGATTGGGTTTATATATTTGGACATGTTTGTCCATATATACAAATCTTTTTAAGTACCCTAATGTGAAAATAATCTATATATTTTATTCCGAAGAGTAATGATATGTTTTCTTTCCACAGTTGTCAGTGGCTAATAATCGGCTGGTACGGATGATGGGTGTGGCCAAACTGACCCAACTCCGGGTGTTAAATTTGCCTCATAATAGCATTGGCTATGTGGAAGGGCTAAAGGAACTAGTACATTTGGAGTGGCTGAATTTGGCAGGAAATAATCTCAAGGTGAACTGGATTTTTTTTTTTTTTTTTTGTGGGGGAACTTTTTAATAGTTATGTTTGGGGTTTTTTCAATTTATAAAAGTATTCACTGTAAAAAATAAATTTAAGCAGTTTAGAAATTATAGAGTAAAAAAATAATAAATGAAAGTACCCACTCACACTGTGAGGGATAATTTCAGTTAATATAAACTAAAAAAATCTCATTTTGAAGCACATAACATAATGTATTATTTTTTTTAATGTGAACAAAGAACCTATTTTGTACTTAGAAAAATGGGTCAAACAGAATGAAATGTTAGGAGGAAGACTAAATCATGCTTCATTAGCTTTAAGTAAATGTTTAATGGTAGAGTGGAGAATATACTTTTTTAAAAGTGGGGGTTCTGGATTCTAGTCTTGTTTCCACCACTTAGGAGCTCTATAATTTTGGGCAAGTTAATAAATATCTCTGTGTCTTACTTTTCGATATGCTAAATGAGGGGATTGGATTAAATGATGTTATTGGTAGCTGACTTTCATTGAACAATTAATTTAGCCTAGGTACTATTCTAAGCAGCTTAATTGTACTAACTCAGTCTCATGACAGCCTATGAGGTAGGTAGTGTCATTATGCCCATTATATAGATGAGGAAACCAAAGAGGAGAGAAGTGAAGTAACTTCCTGAGGTCACACAGGCAGGATCACAGAGTCAGGATTTGAATCCAGGCAGTTTGGCTCCCCTCTTAACTTGTGAAGTCCTTGCCCTCCCAGCTGACATGTGATATCACTATGGTTTCTTCAAGTTCTGAATATCTGGAATGATATGATCCTCTACTCCAGTGTTTCCCAAAGTGTGGTACGTGTACACCCAGGGGTACGGGAAGAATTTGGTGGGGGTACGCATTACACCGGAGTTTGGTGGAGATATGCACTGCACCGTGCTTAGCTGCGCCTAATTCTACGTTCTCATGAGTACGAGGGGTACTCAGCATTACGAAAATTATAGAAGGGGTACACATATGTCAAAAGTTTGGGAAACACTGCAGTCTACTCTGAGAGCAATAATGCAGGTGGAAGCTTGCTCCATAACGTTTTCCCAAATTCCATTAGCATTGCTTTCTCTTTTTCTTGTTAAGCACCACTCATCTGCTTCCAATAATAATCAGAGGAGCCCTAGCTGGTTTGGCTCAGTGGATAAAACATTGGCCTGCAAACTGAAGGGTCCCAGGTTCAATTCTGGTCAAGGGCACATGCCTGGGTTGTGGGCTTGATTCCCCAGAGGGAGCATGCAGGAGGCAGCTGATTGATGATTCCCTCTTATCATTGATGTTTCTATCTCTCCTCTCTTCCTCTCTGATATCAATAAAATCATATTTAAATAAATAAATAAATAAATAAATAAGCAGAGGAAGCAGGAGACTCAGCTAAGAGAAACTAGGGAAGAATTTCTTTATTTTTATTTTGTTTGCATGAACTGACATAATAATTTTCTTGTGCTAGGCCATGGAGCAAATCAATAGCTGCACAGCTCTACAGCACCTCGATTTATCAGACAATAACTTATCCCAGATAGGTGATATATCTAAATTGGTATCACTGAAGGTAAGTGTGTGTTCTGACTATGTCATTTCTGAAATTTTATACTAAAATACCAATAGAATGTTATCTGATCAACTTTAAAGCAGCCTGCTATATATGAAGAACAGATTGTATTCATTACAATAAAAAATTTTATTACAGTGTGAAACTTTTTGTTTTTAGTGTCTATAACTGATGTAATTAAAACTGGTAATTGTAATTCAGGTTAATTCTTATTTACCATCCTTCAAACATGAAATTCCCTTCATCTCCAACTAGCCTGCTAGCAGCTTTGCAGTAAGTACATAGCATGTTGGTGAGGTTGAGCATCATTATTTCTGAACATGAACCTGTGTTCTTGACACTTAAGATTGCTGTGGGGTTTTTTCTAGGAACAGGCATTATTAAGTTATCAAAATTAATTTCACTTTAATTTAAAAAATAAACTTGTATCATATAACACGTTCTATGGAGGAAAATGTATCATGCAGTCAAATAAGTAACAGTTGAACTCACAGCTTCAAAATACAAAAGAGTATTTTCTTTCTGTTTCCTCACCCTCTATATTGATGTTTTTAAAAGTAATGAACTGTTTGTTGGAAATTGCTCAAGTTTTAATAAACTAAGTCTCACAAAATGCCAGTTGCTACACCTAGCATGTGTTCATGGACAAGTCTTAAAACTTCCTTAGGCTTAGAATGTGGACAAGAAAAGAGAGTGGACCAGAAGATGACCATGACTCTTCTAGCATTAAGTCTCTGACTTGTGTGCTATGAGATGTATAATAATATAGGTCTCCTGCTTTCATACATACCATTTTGGTTTTTGTCAAAATAGATCCATTCATTTATAATTTTTTCATTTGTAAGTCCTGTTGTTTTTACTTTTAAGACCCTGCTTTTACATGGAAACATCATCACCTCTCTTAGAATGGTTCCAGCTTATCTACCAAGAAGTCTCGCTATCCTTTCTTTGGCAGAAAATGGAATTCGGGACTTAAATGAGGTAAAATTTGAGAATGTTCTTTGGGAACCAGAAAGCTGCAAAATTGTGGGAAAGGAGGAGAAACACAGAGGAAGTTGTGAGCTCACTGTTGGACTGTGAGCCTCTTGGAAGAAACTGCATCAAAATGAAACACTGGCTCTAGCTGATCATTATTTTTCTTTCCAGTCTTTTCTTAATGTCAGTGGATCATTAAGGCATAATTTCATATGTAATGTGCAGTTGTTCCATTTGTAAATGATTGGAGGTAGAGGGACATCTACACCAAAGAGATAAAGGCACACTGTGCACCTTCCTCTGGCTGCTGTTAGATTTTCAATTGTCTTTGCTGGAAAGCAGTGCTGATATTTTCTAAGCGACATTGTGCAGCAAGGAGAGATAGCCGTATCGTTGGAATTTTGGAAGTTGGTGGATAACATGAGTGCTACTTGTCGCTTTTCAGAACAATAGGGGAATTGTTACATTCTCAAATTGCCAAAGATGTGTAATCATGAACGCCTTGTGCTTGACACTAAATAGTCCAGTTTGTTCAACAGACATATCCTTTGTTCCAGATCTCTTTCTTGGCATCCTTAACTGAATTGGAACAGTTGTCGATCATGAGCAATCCTTGTGTGATGGCAACTCCTTCCATTCCAGGGTTTGACTACCGACCATACATCGTCAGCTGGTGCTTAAACCTCAGAGTCCTGGATGGATATGTGATTTCTCAGAAAGAAAGGTGAACATGACTTTTTTACCATCACATTTACTGTGCAAGTTACTAGACCATTTCTAGCTGGCAGTATTTACTGAAGCTAAACATACAGTACATTCCCTGTAGCCCAACAATTTGACTTCTGGTCTCTACCCTAGAAAAAAGGACGCTCTGTCTACCAAAAGACATACAAGAGTGTTCATAGCAGCCTATTCATAATAGCTTCAAATATTGGGAGCTATTTGGAATTGACCCAAATGTCAATCCACAGAAGAATGGGTAAATAGGAATATTCAGAGTAAAGAACCTAGAATGTTATTGATGCTACACTAGTGAGAAAAATGCTGTTGCAGGTGATATCTGAGACAACCCTGGAGTCTACTCTACTCCCAGGGTTTAGAGTATCTCCGGAAATATGCTATTCAGGGAGGAGGAATTATGCTAAGGGAGAGCCTTTGTCTTAAAAATCACTCCGTAGTCTGTGCAGTGTTCAAAACATCCTCCTGGTTAACCTTGGGGATTGTCCTGAGGATAGGAAAGACTTTCTAGTATTCATATGTATTCAGCCTAACTGTTATTTCCTAAAAACTTCCAGGTTAAATTTTTCTCCCTCCTGTAAAGTATCCTAGGTACCTGGATGACTTCAGGTAGCCAGATCTTAAGTGTGTGTGTCACAGAAAGAGTCACTTGAGCAGCCACCCACCCTGTGGAGCTTTTGCTGGTGCTTTCTGTAGGAGAAGGGCCCCTGTGGGAAGACCAGCACCTTTGTATAGCACATGAGAATTTGGATTTCTTTCTGAGTTTGTTTCCATCTATTTTACCATTTACAGGACACACTGCGCCTCTATTGCTTAGAGATCAGAACTTAGGAAGCAGAACTTTGGAGATGTTTCTTTTCTTTTTTCTTTCTTTCTTTCTTTCTTTCTTTCTTTCTTTCTTTCTTTCTTTCTTTCTTTCTTTCTTCCTTCCTTCCTTCCTTCCTTCCTTCCTTCCTTCCTTCCTTCCTTCCTTCCTTCCTTCCTTCCTTCCTTTCTTTCTTTCTTTTTTTAAGGATATTCAAAATACAGAGAAGTAGAGAGAGTAACTAACATAGGAACACCTCAGTACCCACCATGCAGTCTCCAGAGGGACCAGCATTTTGCTGATCCTGTTTCATCTACCCCCCCACTTTTTTTGTTGGAGTATTTTAGAAGCAAATAACAGTATCATTTTATTCAATACTCTTTTTTGGGGGAGTGGGGGGGTGGGTGAATAGAGCAGGTTGTTTTCAATTTTCTCTCTTAATAGTTGTTACTTCTGTTATATTATCTAAACCATTCTTTTCATCTCAAGAGAAATATCATATTCCAGTGATTTGAAAGTCATGTTATAGCTGAATGAATGTTAGTTTTCTTTTTGTTGGCAATGGTATCTTAATTGGCAGGGAGTTTCTTTACCCAGGAGAAAAATTTATGGATTAATATATATGTTTTTGATGGATGAAAAGCAAAGGCAAGAAGGACATTTACATTTGCTGATGCTCCACAGTTTTTGTTTTTTCTTTTTTTTTTCTTTTTAATATTTTTATTGATTTTTTTACAGAGAGGGAGGGAGAGAGATAGTTAGAAAAATCGATGAGAGAGACTCATCGATCAGCTGCCTCTTGCATGCCCCCCACTGGGGATGTGCCCGCAACCAAGGTACATGCCCTTGACTGGAATCGAACCTGGGACCCTTCAGTCCGCAGGCTGATCCTATCCACTGAGCCAAACCGGTTTTTGGCAGTTTTTGGTTTTTCTTACACTCATACTGTGGAGCACTAAGCCTGAGCCTTCTTTGTCTTTTTACTTTTGTTGCTCTTTTGTCCCAAACTACACGCTGTCTATAACCTGGAAATGTTGCTTGCTGGTTATGTTCAAGTTGGAAGTTGCCATTTGCTGTGGACCTTTTTGCAGGGAGAGCTTTTCAATAAGTGATTTGCTTGGCAGAACTTATGGAAACTTAGAGCAGATTTCATGAAGATTCTGAATGATCTTTAACTGTTTTTATGAAATAGAATAAACTTTCTATTAGACTAAGAATGGGTTACTTGATTTGAGTTAATCTACTTAGCATACCAAGTATCTCACTGAAGGAAAGCAGTCTTTTCTTTCTTATGACTCTGGAAGATCACTAACTAAACTTGTATTGCACCATGACCCTTTTGCATGATTTAACCAGTTACCAAGAGGATACTTTCTTGTCTGTCTATAATAGACTGGCTTGACTGTTTTAGACAATACAGCTTGTATGATGTGGATACCTTGGTATGAAGGTCCAAGAAAATAATTGTGAATTGGAAGAGAGTTTCAAACTATCTGCAGTGCTTAGTTAATTATATAGAAACAGAGAAAATATATCAAAATGTTCTAACCTCAACTTCAAGTTGAGGGCCAAGAATGGCAAAATTGAGGCAATGGCATGTTAAACAAAAATAAATAAATTAAACCAATTCAAACGTGTGTGTGTGTGTGTGTGTGTGTGTGTGTGTGTGTGTGTGTATATATATATATATATATAAAAGCCTAAGCAACCCTTGCAACTTGTTGACTGAACAACCAGTCAACTGGTCACTATGACAATGCACTGATCACCAGGGGGCAGAAGCTCAACACAGAAGCTGCCCCCAGTGGTCAGCATGCTCCCACAGCCAACCTCCCCTGGCTGGCCAACGTCCCGTGGTCCTCCACCTGGCCGGCCAACTTTCTGCAGTCCCTCCCCTTGGCCAGCCAGCCCAATTGGCCCCAACTACTGGCCAGGCCCAGGGACCCCACCCATGTACGAATTCGTGTACCAGGCCTCTAGTGGAAAAATAAACAGTAATAGAATGATCTCCCATGAATCCAAAATCTAATGTCAGTGGTTTTCAACTCCTGGCCAACCTTGTTTATTTAGACCTTCACCTGTTTCCTCTTATCCTGTGTTATTATTTTTTTTAAATATATTTTATTGATTTTTTACAGAGAGGAAGGGAGAGGGATAGAAAGTTAAAAACATCGATGAGAGAGAAACATCGATCAGCTGCCTCTTGCACACCCCCACTGGGGATGGGCCCGCAACCAAGGTACATGCTCTTGACTGGAATCGAACCCAGGACCCTTTAGTCTGAAGGCTGACGCTCTATCCACTGAGCCAAACCGGTTTCAGCTTCTCCTGTGTTATTTTTAAGCAGATCTCAGATTACTTATAATTTCATCTGAATATTTCCATGTATATCTCTAAAAGATAAGGGCTCTTCAAGAAATAACTATAATACTGTTATCACATCTCATGTGTAATAAATTTGGGTACTTAAGTTTAACAGTGAATGAAGGGAATAGGTATTGCTTCTTTGAAAATAATTTTGAAATATTTGGAACCATTTGTACAAATCTATGGAAATGCCCCTAAGCAAGAAAGAATGTTTAAGTCATGTTAAGAATAAGGGGAGTGAATCAGAAGGATCGATTAAAAGTTGAGTGAGTTTTATTTATGAGAAACATCCATCAGTGCTATAAAGGTAATTAAGATGGGAGATCATGTTGCTTTAAATTGCTTACTAGTACTGTCTGCCTGGTGTCACCTTCTCTTTATATTCCCCAATTCCAGTTTGAAAGCTGAATGGCTCTATAGTCAAGGCAAAGGGAGAGCATATCGACCTGGCCAGCATGTCCAGCTTGTCCAGTATCTAGCTCTGGTCTGTCCTCTCACTTCTACACTGGGTCTTCAAACAGCAGAGGATGCCAAGCTAGAGAAGATTCTGAGCAAGCAGAGGTGAGCCCACTTATTTATAGCAGCTGATGAAATCACAGTGAAAATACCTCTGAGTCTTTGCTGCGGGGTTAGTAGGACTGAGGCAAGTGCCGCGGCCCACATTTCTGAGCGTTTTGGCCCCTTGTCACTGCAGCAGTCGGACAGGGAACTGAGCCACACAGTGCAGGCCAGTTTGCTCCACAGCAGACGCATCGCTAATCATGCCTGGGGAGAGCCAAGCGGTATGGAAGAATGGGCTTTTAAAAAATGGATCTGCTCTTTTAATGTGGTCGTTCCTTTGGGGTTTTTAAATACTAACATTAAGAAATACAGCTAACAAGTGTTAGTGAGGAAAGGGAATGTTTGTGCACTGTTGGTGGGAATGCAGACTGGTGCAGCCCCTGTGGAAGCAGTATAGAATTACCTCAAAAAACTAAAAGCAGAACGGCATTATGACCCAGGGATTCCACTTCTGGGAATTTATCTAAAGAAACCCAAAACACCAATTCAAAAGAATATATGTACCCCTATGTTCATTGCAGCGTTATTTACAATAGCCAAGATTTAAGGCAGCCTAAGTGTCCATCAGTAGACGAGTAGATGAAAAAACTTGAACATTTACACAATGTTATGCTACTCTGCCATAAAAAGGAAGAACATTTTATCCTTTGCAACAGCATGGATGGTCCTAGAGAACATTATGCTAAGTGAAATAAGCCAGTCAGAGAAAGACAAGTATCATATGATTTCACTCATATGTAAAATTTAATGTATTAACTGAACTACCAAGCAAAGAAAGCAGGCAGACAGCTCTGGAGTGGGGAAGGAGAGGGAATGGGGGGAAGGGGGGAAGAGGGAGAATTGAGTAAAAAAGAAGAAAAGAAGTATAGCTAGAAGCATTTAGTGGTCACTTTTATTTTTTAAACCAGAGATCCTGCCTTAAATGTTTGTACAGGTGTATGCATATGAGTTGTCTGTCTATGCAATTTAAAAATAAGGTCCTTAACCCTTTCTATCCAGTGCTTTCAAATGAGACTTTGTAATTTGGTTGTGATTAGTGGTATCTACTTTGAAGATTATAAACTTCTACCTTTCTGATAGGAAGCAGAAGAGCTTGCTTTTCTGGGTGTGTGTTAAATCACATCCAATGTTATTGACTTGTAGGTTTCATCAGAGGCAGTTAATGAACCAAAGCCAAAATGAAGAGTTGTCCTGTCTTCCTCCTGCTGAAACAAAGGCACCAGAGCATTCGAGCCCCCTTCAAGATGGCCAGACAGTCCAGGAGTGCGGTAAGAAAGTAATTACTCTGTTTTCTTCAAGTTGTTGGATCTGTTAAGCATCATAAAACAGAAAAGGTGTATATTTTCATAGTTTTTATTAGTTTTTTTACTTAAGTGGTCATTTGGATCTTATATTTTATACATATGTGTATACACACTCATACATATATATTTTATATGTAAGTGTATACACACACACACACACACACACACATATATATATATGTGTATATATATATATTTTAAATATTTTTAATTTTTAAAAATTTAGAGCACTGCTACTTTTTGTATTAATCTGATACTTTGATTATTGAAATAATTTGTTTTCTTAAAAATATTTTGTTTGATGTTTTAGGCTTATTGGAGGAATCAATGAAGGCCTTTTATTGCATTTTGCTCTATTTCAGGGATTAGATTTTCTTAAAAAGATGTAACTGAAAAATACGTCTTAACTCACACAAACAAATAAATATGTGAGGTAATTGATATTTTAATTAACCAGAAGTCAGGAATCTTTCACAATATATACATATATTAAATCACCACAATATATACTTACAGTATCTTATAATTTTGTATGTTAATTACACTTTGATGAAGCTGAAATTTAAAAAAACTTAACATATATAGTGGTTTAAATGATACTCTGTTGATTCTTTTAGAACCCGTCATCCAAGTAAATTCTTGGATTGGGATAAGCAGTAATGATGATCAATCATATGCCGTGAGGAGTAACTTTCCAGCCTCTATACACACTACAAAGTATTCTCGAAATGACCTGCACCTGGAAGACATACAGACAGATGAGGACAAGTTGAACTGTAGTCTTCTCTCTTCAGAGTCTACTTTTATGCCAGTTGCATCAGGACTCTCCCCAGTATCACCTACAGTTGAGCTGCGGCTACAAGGCATTGACTTGGGCCTAGAAGATGGTACAAATGACTCTGTGAAAGGGCAGGAAGACCAGGAATTGGATAAAGAAGAGGAAAAAGCTTTGAGGACTACAAGTGAGAATTCTGTTCAAATGATGAAAAATGCAGTTGGTGCAGAGGTCAGTGAGAAAGATGGGCAGGTACCTTGCCCTGAGCTAGCAGTAGCCAGTGCTCTCTCGAAAGGTGACACGAACAGCCTTCCATCTTATCCTGAGCCAGTTGAACACAGTGTCTTACCTACAAAACCAGACAGAAAAGAAACTGCGTCTGAAACTGCTTCAGAAGAAGTTCCTTGTGAGACTTTTCCCCAAAGCTCTGTTGCTTTGGTACAAGATGAAGTTGCCCTTCAGAAACTGAATGAGGCAGCCACAACACTGCAGGCTTGTTGGCGTGGCTTTTATGCCAGGAACTATAGCCCTCAAGCCAAAGGCGTGCGCTATGAGATCCGGCTGCGCAGAATGCAGGAGCACATTGTCTGCCTCACCAATGAAGTAAGGAGGTGAGGCAAAAGTTCTGTCAGGTGCTGTTTTGTTGGTTTGCGTCATTCTTAGAGTTGACTCGGAACACTGCATCAGTGCTGTTGTGCTCAGGACACATTCATACCACGTTACCACATGTGGCTAACTTGTCTCCTACAATAAATACACTGAAAGCATCTCCATATCGGTACATAGATTCAGCTTAGCAATAATGTTGAGTGAATAAATCCCTTATAAGGCATCTATAACCTAAACACACAAAGGTACAGAAAATGTAGAAAAATTGGATAAGTAGAGAAGATGAGAAAGACTACAGAGAACTAACTAGGTGACCTGAGAATTAAAGAAAGGAGCAGGAACTTAAAAGGGGTTAAAATACTGGACAATGGTAGGAATTATGCCTTCATTCCGTGGCTCACTTGTTTTACTGACTGTTGACTCAGAAAAATTAGGATTTCAAAATTTATTTTGAGTATTAGTATTCCAGCCACCAATTAGCTATTAATAGTATCAAGTGGGAGAGGAGGAGGCAGTAAAAGAGACTGAGAAGGAACAGCCAGAGTGGTAAGAAAACCACTGGAGTGTGTCCCAGCTCCAACAGGGAAATGTTTCGAGAGAGAAGAGAGGCGCTGTGGGGAGGATAGAGAAGTGTACATTAGATTGAGAAGCTGGGGTTATTGGTGGCTTTATTGGGGCTTCAAAGCAATCTTCAGGTTTGATGATTTGCTGAAAGAACTCAGGAAAGCTATTCTGTTCATGATTGTGGTTTATTGAAATGAAAGGATAGGAGACACTTTAAAGTCAGCATAAGAGAAAGATGGATGGGGCAGAGCCCAGGAGAAACCTGGCACAAGCTTCTCGGTGTCCTCTCCTGGTGGAGTTGTACAGGCAGAGCTTGATTCTCCCAGCAATGATGTGTGACAATACCCGGGAAGCATTGCCAACCGGGGAAGTCAATCAAGTCTGACACCCAGGGTTTTTTTTAGGGGTCAGTCACATAGACTAACCTTCATTACTCATACTGATACAGGGCCCCAGGTGAACAAAAACACTTATTCACCAGCCCTGGCCAGGTAGTTCAGTTGGCTAGAGTGTTGTCCCAATACGCTAAGGTTGTGAGTTCAACCTCCAGTCAGGGCACATAAAAGAATCAACCAGTGAATGCATAAATAAGTGGAAGAACAAACTGATGTTTCTTTTCTCTCTCTCTCTCTCAACTCAATAAGTAAAAATTAAAAAACAAAACACTTATTCTCTAGAAAGCACAGCGTTAGCATAAACTATCTGGTTTAGTTCAAAGTCTCGCCTATGTATATATATTCTCTTACCAGATGGGATATTCCAAGGGCTTAGGTTCCCAGGGCTTACGGGCTACCTCCTGGGAGCCAATTAAGGGCACTCTGTCTTTAGAATATTAATACATAGAGTCTGAACACCCAGGCCTGCTGGAATTAACCTTTTCCGCCCGGTGAGGTTCTGAAAAACAGCTTCAGTGGCATTGTGGGATGGTGGCAGTTTGGAATAGGTTGAGAGTGAATGAGAGGTAGAAAATGAGTGTAGCTAACTCTTTTGGGACGTGTTGCTCTGAGGATGAGGAGAGCTGGAGAATCTGGAGTTAAAGGAAAAAAAAAATAAAGACAGGCAATAAAGAGCATGTTTATGTATTGATGGAAATGATTCAATAAAGAGGGAAGAACTGATGGTGCAGAGGAAAGAAAGACACGCAGGCTTGAAGTTCTTGAAAAGATTCGAGAGGAAGGTATCCAGTGTGCAAGTATCGGGAGTGGGCTGGGGCAGGAGCAGATATAAGGTGATAGGTTTGATGCTGAGGGGTGGGTAAGTCCTGTGTGATAGATGCCTCTCCTTTTTCCTTAATGTATAAGATGTGGTCAACATTTGAAAATGAAGAGAGGAGTGTGTGGGAGGTTGATGGAGAGAGGTGTGAGTTGTGAGGTGTGAGGTATTCGTTTTAAAAGTGAACTTATAAGCGGAATAGAAGATGATTGCTGGACAGTGTGAGGAAAACTTAAAACAATAGGTCAGGTTGTATGGTTTTCATCAGTTCTATTCTGATGGGGGTGGTTAATTTGTTTCATACAGGAATGATTTTTCTCAGGTGTGTATGGAAGGGGAAAGAAGGAAAGGCAAGGAGTCAAAGGTATTTTGGGATGATGATTATAATGATGGATCTTGAAATTTAACCGAGGTAAGAGCCCGGCCGACATGGTTCAATGGTTGAGCATCGACCAGGTCTAGGTGAAGATTAGATTTCTGGATTGTTTCAGTGGGGTGGAAGTGTAGGTGAGCTGGGAAGATGGGAGGTAGTGGTCTGTGTGGGCACTTCAGACCATTTTTTAAAAATTGTGTAGTCAAAATAAATGATTGGGACTCCAGTGAGACAATGAGGAGTGGCATGGGTGTATGGATTATTCTTAGATAGAGCATCCATGGGAATGTTGAGGTCTCCAGAAATGACAGGTATGGGGCAGTGAATAAAGACAGATAATGCGAAATCAACATTTGAAAAGAGTTTGGGGAGATTTAGTTCCTCAAGAAAGAAGGTAAAGAATAGTTTGTACACATCAGTGAGAAGTAGTCTCCTTACCCTAGTGATTAAGTGAAAAAGATATCTTCCACTTAAGAGGGCTACAGTGCCCTCAAAAGTGTGTCTGATTTGGTTAAGGAAAAGTTCACCTAAGAGGTTGACTATATAGGGGGAGAAAAAGTAGGCTTACAATTGTGAAAATGCAAAAATATAGAATTTATTATTGTACTAGAGGCCCAGTGCATGAAATTTGTGCACAGAGTGGGAGGATTCCCTCAACGCAGCTACACCCACTCCAATTGGGACACCTGGGCGTTTGGACACCCCTCTCACAATCTGGGACCACTGGCTCCTAACCACTCACCTGCCTGCTTGCTTGCTCCTAACTCCTCTGCCTACCTGCCTGATCACCCCTAACCTCTCTGTCTACCTGCCTGATCACCCCTAAACTCTCTGCCTACCTGCCTGATTGCCCCTAACTGCCCTCCCCTGTTGGCCTGATTGAGCCCCAACTGCTCTCCCCTGCTGGCCTGATCTCACCCCCAACTGCCTCTGCCTCTCTGATCACCCCTAACTGCCCTCCCTTGCTGGCCTGATCTTGCCCCCAATGGCCCTCCTCTGACAGCCTGGTTTCCCCCAACTGCCCTCCCCTGCCAACCTGATCTCGCCTTCAATGGCTCTCCCCTGCCAGCCTGATCTCCCTTGCCGGCCTGATTGCCCCTGACTGCCTCTGCCTGCCTGATCTACCCTAACTACCCTCCCCTGCCAGTCTGATCTCACCCCTAATTGCCTTCCTCTGCTGGCCAATTTGATTTTGATTGGTCAATTTCTATGCCAGTCAGCGTCAAAAGCTCCGCCTATTAGGCAACCATTGGCTCCTTACATTCACCCAGATTTGGTTTTGATTGGTCAGTTTCGATGCCAGTCAGCGTCTCTGGGCTTATCAACAGGACCTGATCAGAAAGGAGGGGCTGATCAGCAGCCCCCATGGAGGCCTAGAGAGAAATGGAGGCATGGCTGTTGGCCAGGCTGGGAGATAAAGAGAGGCAAGTTCTGATCAACAGCTGCCACAGAGGCTATAGATCAGACCCTGCCTCTCTCTCTGTTGGCCTCTCTCTGGGCCTGATCCACAGCCCCATAGGTAGTCAGTGCTGGGTCAGGGCACTGGCAGCTGCCCCAGTCAATGCTGGGTCGCCATGACAACCCAGTACTGACTTCGGGTCTGGTTGAGCCTTCAGACATAATGGTCATTATGACCCTGGCTCTTTATTATAGAGATTATTATTGATAATTATTGTATTTTCCACATGAACAACTGTAAGCCTATACTCTGTATAAGGGACCTGGCTAATTACAATTCAGGAATCTCAGAAGGCACAGAAGAAGAGCTTTGGGGCTAGAGAATGTGAGGAATTGGCTCAGAGGTTGAGAACAAGGTGGTGGTGACAGTCTGGGAGATAATGGACAACTAGGGGAGCCTTAGATGTGTGATAGGCCTAAGAGGGTGACAGTGAGCCCTTGAATGAGTAAGAGGAGGTACTGGGGTGAGGTGGAGGTGGCTTATTGGTGGGAGGAAGAAGCTCATGAGGAACTAGGGCAAACGGAAGTTTGGTGGGATTAGTCCTGCTAGTCTAGAGGTGTTTCTCACTATTCCTTAACTTTTTGCACCAGATGTTTCTCATGTGTTTGGGTGGAAATTGAGGCCAAATAAAGAGCCATTTAATATTATATTTTTCATCACTGGCAATACTTTGTGGAACCAATATAATCTGGATTTCAGTCCCATCTCATTTGACTTCTTTGTTGAATCATAGTTTGAAACTTGTTCCAGCTTAGGTATTTTAATAGTGCAAAGGTCTGTTATTTGGTTTTTAATGTCTACAATGCATGTGCTTATTAGTTGTTATAAGAAGTGCAAGTCAACATTCCCTTCCGTATGTCAATAATGGATTTTGAATTATTATAGATTAAGAAAAGAAAGAGATGAAGAACGTATTAAAAATTTTGTACAAGAAGAGGCTGTCAGATTCCTTTGGAACCAGGTAAACCCCTTCTTGCTGATTTACCTAATGTGTAAACAAAGAAAAATCCTAGATTTATTTAGCTAATCATAGAGTAGTTAGCCATACTAATCACCCTTCCCCAAGGTCAAGGATGTAATTTGTGCTCTTTGTCACTAACTTGAAACTAGGAAGAGATCTTTGTCACATTTTACTTAATCTGAAAAAAAATATTATAATTTTGAACAGGAAGATGAAGTATAAAGATGAAGGCAAGTGACTAAATTGAGGGTTGTTGTTATAACTTTTCAATACATAGGTATAAAAACCCAATTTGAAGTTTTATGTAATTATCTTGTCTTATCCTTTGGTAATATTGGAATGAAAAGTGACTAACATGATTTTTGATAGTTACAGTATGCATGTCCTAAAGTATACATGACTTCTTGGGAGAGAGAGTTTGAATCTTATAATAGCACACTTTAGGGACAGTTCAGACAGTTGATTTTACTATAATTATATTTCATTAAATATTTTTAAAAATAATTCCTTGTAAATATTTTACATAAGAATTTCTCATAATAGGATCTTAATACTGTAAAATTCAAAAAACCTTTTTAGCCCTAGTAGTTTTGCTTAGTTGATAGAGCATCGGCCTCTGGACTGAGGGGTCCCAGGTTCAATTCTAGTCAAGAGCACATACCCAGTGTACTTGATCCCCAGTGTGGGGCATGCAGGAGGCAGCCCATGAATGATTCTCTCTCATCATTGATGTTTCTATCTCTCCCTCTCCCTTCCTCTCTACAATCAATAAAAATATATTTTAAATAATTTTAAAAAATACCTTTTTAAGGTTTTATAATTACTGTTACTAGGGATATGCTTACATAAATTTTATAAATAACAATACTATGGGATGCTATAGAATAGTTAAAAAGAAGAACTGACTGACATGGAAAGATCTCCAAGATAACACTGTTCAGTGAAAACAGCAAATTGCAGAACTTGATGCTCCATTTGATTTAAAAAACTTTGTATTTGAAAATATATAGTAAAAAGTCTGGAAGGATAAATATCAAACTGCTATCAATGATTACCTTAAAGGATAATCAAAGGGAAACTAAAAAATTCTATATATTGCTTTTTTGTTATAGATGTTATAGTAAAATTTTGAATTCTTCATTGTACTTGAAAAATGTAAAGGACATATTACCAAGAACTCAGGGTGTTTGAGGGTATTTTTTAGTTGTATATACGATATTGTTAGATAATATTAAACTCTTATTCCAAATGGATATCTAAAATGAAATTCTACTTATATTAGAGGACCTACTTATATTAGTAGACTATAATCTGTCTAATTATATGGACCTCAATGTATATTGAGTACCTTACTGACCCCTTAGTCAGCTAGACAAGTGCTGTTGTACTTCTGATTGTTTTTCCAGTAGAAGCAAGAGAATTGTTTTGGGCCAAGGACATGTACCTTTGTGCCAGCCTGGTTTAGACAAGAGGTGCTTTGGAAAGGGTAAGAGGAGTCAGGATGCTTCTAACTCCAGTTTTGCTGCTTCCATTTACCAACTTAATGTGTGTTGGGAATAAAACTCAAAGGACAATTATAAAACGGGCATGACTCTTTTTTTTTATAATAAAATTACATCCTTTGGTTCATAGGTAAGATCTCTGCAAGCTTGGCAGCAGACTGTGGACCAGCGTCTAAGTTCCTGGCGAACCGATGTTCCTCCTATTTCAAGTACTCTGGTGCCATCTGAACATCCATTATTCCCCCAAAGCCAGGAGCCCTCCTCTGATCAAAATTTGGATTGGTTCGTTGCTCCTGATGAAGCTCCTCAAAAGAAATCCTTGCCGGAATTTCCAGACTCTGGGTTTCATTCCTCCCTAACAGAACAAGTTCACTGTTTGCAGGATTCTTTGGATTTTGAAAAAAGTTCCAGAGAAAGCACTGAAAGTTCGATAATGGGGAACTCCACTGACACAGTCAGGCATCGCAAAATGTCAGGTGTAGCGGATGTTAGCGGAGAACATGGTGAGTGGAGTAAGGAAAGCTCAAACAGTGAGCAGGACAATAATCTGCTTGAACAGTACTTAACTTCAGTTCAACAGCTGGAAGATTCAGAGGAGAGGACACATTTTGCTGACAGGGCAGGAGATAGTATGCTTCACATAGATCATTCCCCTGAAAAGTTAGATGCCTTGTCTGACAATGCTTCTGTAGATGGTACTCATGTCACATCTCCTGCTTTGCAAGATGGAATCAGCCAGACACCAGAGGATTGTAAATTAAATGCAGAAGTTGAAGGGCAGCAGTCAGAGTGTGATTCTACATTTCAGGAATTGCATGTTGGTATTGCAGTGTAGCATGTCTGGGTGCTTCAGAAGCAGAATCCACTTAATTTTTCTTAGGAATATTTTCAGTTGCCTTTTTTTTTTTTTGAAGGGGAATTTGAATAGACCCCCAATTTTGTTATTATTTATATAGAATGTATATTCTTCTCTCATATTTTCCATATTCTAGATACTGAAGTCAATCTTCATATTGATTGGGTTAGCCTTTTTTACTTAGCTATAATTTATCAAGCAATATTTATATTGGAAGCTATAGGCACTTTATTTCTTAACTGGACTGCATCAGTAGTGTTTCTGCTTTTGTATGTATTCATTTGCTTTCAAAAATAAATTAAAATATCTTAAATAAGGTAGAAAAAAATAGTTTAAAGATATAAATAAGAGAAATGACTCCTCTGTGTAAGGAAATTGTTTGGTTAAGAATGCAATTAATTAAAATAAAGGTAAACAACATAAATGAGGATTGTGAAGTATTAAAATTTGCCAGCCTCCTTCAGGGAAGACCTTGTGTTTTTAGGCCTTTTTCCTCCCTTATGAGTCAAGGAAAACTTTCTCTTATTAGCAAATAGGGGGAGAAGGTAAAATTATAGAATTTTTCAGTAGGGATGATAAATTGTCTCCTGGAAAAATTCAGTTTATATCATGTATTAGTATTAACATATGAAGCCAAATGTTCCATCCATAATTAAAATCAAGCTTATTTAAAGAGGCAATATAAGAATATTTCTCTCAGATATGAAAAAAGTAAATACACTAGGCTCTATTCATTTGGAATAATGTCATGACAAACATTTGTTACCTTTCATTTAGTCCTTTTTTTACCTCACAGATAAGGATGCATGTGCCAATATATTGCCAGAAATTCATGTATATTCATCTTGTATACTGCTTTATATTTGCATATGTATTTCAGCAGAAGATCTGTGTCATTTAGTTCACTTTTGATCTCTATGTCTTAATGAAGAACATTTAAAATGAAACTAGTGGTAGAATTTGGTGCGTTGGTATTTTTAAGAACAATTTTCTATCTAAATCTCTGAAAAAGGTGCCACATTTGCAAGACAGTTTAACAGTGAATGAGAAGAAATAAACCTCACTTTTATTTTTACTTGTTAAAAAAGAATATATATCTGTAACTGTGGGAAGAAATGATAATATTGTGTTTGACTATTACAGGTACCTGTATACGCAAATCAAGGATAATTTTTTGGAATGTCCTAATACAGTTAAACAATTCATATCTGATTTTCCTCAATCTTGTGGACAAACAACTATTTGAAATGAAGGCAATACTTATTCTCCAAATTTAGGTGCTAAATATCTATTTATTCTATGACAGTCAGTAGATACCCTTCATTAAAGTTATATACAATAAAAACTTCTGATTCTTAAGAATAAGGTCAGGGATCACATGTTATTCTTTTCTAATAGTTGGAAACATTTCTCCAGTATGGGTAAAATGTATTTTCTTGGTTTATAAATATGTAGCACTCAGGTTAAGAAGACTTGAACTTCATTCTCAGAAATCTAAAGTCTCTTGAAAAGAAATTATTTTCTGTCTCTTATAAACTGAACAACAGTCCTGTGTTCAAAAGTATTTTTCCTAATGAAGCTTGTGTAATGTGGAAAGCATGTTAAATAAAAATAGAATTTTTTGCTTTTTGAATAATGCTAATTATCTTTTACGAATGATTTTTAATTTCTTCTTAAATAGTCCCTATTTTTCTATTCTACAGTTAAGTGCCTCATTGCTGCCCATTGTTAGACAAAGAAAAATCAACTTGCACTGCACTAGTTACAAAAATGCTGCTTCATGGTTCATTAATTTCTCATTAAAGCTCCTGAAATGTCCTGGTTCAGTATTGCTTAAGTAGGTTACTGCCGAAATCTTGTCCCTCTTCTCTTTTTTTAAGAAATGGCAAAACACAACTACATTCATTTGAACGTGAGCATTTGTCAGTAAGATTTCCTTTTTACCTTTCCTTTGTATTTCTTTTTACCTTTCCTTTGTGTAGAGATAGTGTTCAGTGTACTTTTATTTTAAAATTGACAGGATAGCCCAGCCAATGTTCTCGGTGGTTGAGCGTGGACCTTTGAACCAAGAGGTCACTGTTCGATCCCAGTCAGGACACATGCCTGGGTTGCAGGCTCGATCCCTAGAAGGAGATATGCGGGAGGCAGCAATCAAATGATTCTCTCTCATCATTGATGTTTCTATCTCTCTCCGTCTCCCTTCTTCTCTGAAATCAATAAAAATATACTTAAGATTGACAGAATATGTTATTAATATCCTGCTCTTCATTCTATTTAACTCTTCATTCTATTTAACCACGGGGGCAATTCAAGAATGAGTTATTAACAGTGAATTTTTTGCATTTTTTATCGTTCTAGGTGCCTCATATATATTGTGACATATTTATGCATTTCAATTCTCTATTATGTGTTGAAACTTTGCTATTTTTTCATATTACTTCATATTATTTTTTTAAACAATTTCTTAGTGATTTCCTCCTCAGTACTTAAACTGTCCTTTTGTTCTATTGTTCTTCTCTTTCATGGAAACCATGTTCTTTAGAAGCTTGTTTAGACCAAGTTAATGGCCTTTTAGGCTTCCTCCACGTGAATGGGAGTTCACTTTTTGAATAATAAGAATTATGTGTCACAGGGGGCATCAGGATTTTAGAGATGCTTATGTGGGGCATGGGCAAAAAAAAGTTGGGAACCACTGATTTAACTTTACTAGAGTTTTGAAGTGCAAGAATATTAAGTAGCCCCCTACAGTAACTTTGCAGATTATCTTGAATGTAGATAGAATGAAAATAATGTAAATTAGAATGCAGGAAAACTGGCATAGAGTTAATATATTTTAAATATTTAATAGGCTTACAATGTAATTTAAAATTATTTATTTAACTAAAGTATTTGGTTTTTAATTCTATGTGCTGTTCATTGGTCTGACTAGAATGAGTAATAGAGTTTGCAAAGTTGACCTTTAACACAGTCTTTGTGTTTTTTCTTATAGGAGAAATTTAATTCAGCTGTGTTACTTAGGTTCATATTAGTTCTCTTGATTTATGGAAAAGTCAATGTGTTAAGTAGATACTTCTGCAGAAGCACAAAATCATACCATGTGAGAATTGGAAGAAACCTTAAGAGATTATTCATATAATGTTATAGCTAGTTAGTAGTAAATAAAATGAAAACTTAAAAGTTATTGTGTTCCAAAGTTATTATACACTATTAATCTTTATATTTAGGAGTCAGTAAGAAAATCTCATATGTTTTCCATTCTCTTTGAAAGAGAATAAACATTTCTGAGAGCTAGAACTCTACCCCTCAAGGCAAAGTTTTTTAAAAACAAAAAACAATTCATTCAGAACCATGAGTGAATTTTCCCTAAGAAATTTAATTTGATTAAAATGGTTTTTAAAGAGCAATAGTAGAAACAAAACATTTTAAAGAATAGCTGAATCTTGGAGATCACTTATTTGATGGCAAGTATAACAGGTTTCTGAGAGACAAAATTTTCTAATGAAATGCTGAATTTAATTATATTTCATGTTTAGTTTTACAGAACAACAGATGCTAAAAGTTTTAACTCCTGGTGTACAGAAGCTCCAATTATAATAGTTGATCCATATCTTCTATAATAATAAAAGCATAATATGCTAATTAAACCAAACATCCTTCTGGACAAAGCCGGGGCTGCAAGGGAAACCCGGGTCCTGAGTGCCAGAGGGAAACCTGTGCCAGGAGCCAGGGGAAGGAAGGCCTACTCTTGAATGAATTTTGTGCATCGGGCCTCTAGTATAATATAACTTGGTTTTATAAGTTTAAGACTCAGATGTTCATGTTTTAGGAAAACCTTATAATTATTTGTATAGTTGCAAATAATTATATTTTTGAATGATGAGGATTCCTTTGAATGTAGATTTTTCTTTTATTTTGGATTATTTTAAATATACAAACACCATAATAGTGTATTTTTCAGTTTTCTCCTCATGCAAGTTTAGTTCTACTTTTATAAATATATTAAAAAACAATATGGATGTAAAAATTATACTATCTCCCTTATTGCCTTTTTTGATGCAAATTCTTAGAATTGGATTTATAAAAATAATATGCAATCTTTTTCTGGAGAATTAAGACCTAGTAAAAAGGGAAGACATAAAATGTGTCTGATCAATTTTCTATTCATAAATAAAAGATTTTATTGTTTAATGTATATTTTTATTTTGCCATGCACCTTATTAAGAGGTACCTATTATATTGTAATGCTTTAACTTTTAAATATATGACCCCTCTCATTCATGAAATAAAGCAGAAAGAGTCTAAGAAACATTGTAAACATTTTTAGTGATACGTTGCTTTTGCTGATCAAATCTATTGTGCCATATTAAAATTAAAAGACAAACAGCCCAGCCGGTGTGGTTCAGTGGTGAGCATCGACCTCTGAACTAGATCACGTTTTGGACAGGGCACTGCTCTTCTCTACCCAGACCATTTCTTGATCCCCAGTGTAGGGCATGCAGGAAGTAGCCAATCAATGATTCTCATCATTGATGTTTCTGTCTCTCACTCTTCCTCTCTGAAATCAATAAAAAGATAGATAGATAGATTTTATTTTTTAAGTCAAGTAAAGAAGACCTCTCAGTCTAGAGAGAAATAATTGTCTTTTTTTTTTTAATGAGGTGCTTTTATTTGTGAATATAAATCATACTAAATTTTAATTTAATTCATTTTAGTGAATAGCAGGAGTATCTCTACAGTAGCTGTGTTCATTTTCTAATTAAAATTTTTTGAGTGTTTTGTAATAATTTTAATGTTGAAAATAACTTTGAAATACTTTGATTTTGGACTCTAGGGTTTAATTTTGTTGTAGAAATAGATGATTTGAAGGGGTTTGGTCTGTTTTTATGAAGGCTTCATATATTGTACTTATTTAATTTTATTTGAGTAATTCTAAATAAAAAGTTTATACATTTGTTTGAGTGATTATCTGTTTATTATAA